ATAAAATTTCTTTTCCGTCTGTGTTTGAGATATCCGAATAACATTTAATACATATGTGCGTTTCGATATTATATTCAACACTTCGGTATCGGCCAGTTAGGAGAACTATATTACACATCAACCATACATTTACAGGAAAATATATAAAGCAATCAAAAACGTTAACTTTGACTGAAACGAAGCTACAATATTATTCACAAAAGGATTTCAGTTTTTACCATATGACAGCTATATGCTATAGTAATCCAATATCGGAATACAAATGAATAGCTTTTTTATAATAACATATCGATAACTTAGAGCCTAGCTCATTTATAAACAAATGGTCTATATGGAATCAGCTCATAATCATTATTTTTTGCCTCTGGGTGTTACAAACATCGTGACAAACTTAATATATCTTCTGCAGGGTATAAAAATGGTAATGTTGAATACAAAATACTATTGCTATACCACCAAAGTCTTTAAAAGTTTTCACAAAATCCTAAAGTTACCTGCAGCTGCGGAGCGAATGATTCATTAAACCATTGGTTGAGTATAGCGTTATCTAGGCGGATGTTGAGGCATTGTACTCGCTGAGGCACTAAAAGCTTTCCTAATTACCAAGATTACTCAAAATAAAGAAGAGGGAAGACGAGTCGTCGTCAGATATTACTAAACTATCAAAAAGTTCGCTTGAAAATGAAGGAAAGCCCGTTTGAAGTGTTTAGAACTTAAATTAATTAAAGGCAAGAGGCTGTTTATCCGTCATTATTCAAGCTTTAAGGCTTACCTTTTCTGTAATGGCATAATATAATGCCTTTTTTGAATAATTGAGCAGAACTTTTAAAGGGTGCCTCGAAATTAACAAAGGGTTGAAATTAAAAACAGGTGCCTCAAAACTAACTAAAAGACATTGGATCTAAATACAGGGTGTCTGAAAATTATCGACAGATTTACAATTTTAGCCATTTATATTATAAAAACAAACTACCAGCTGACATTTAGGCTCAGTAAATGCGATAGGAAAAAAGTCAGTTCAAAAATTTCGTACAAAATATGGTCGGAATAGGGTTTTCACTTCGTCAACTGTATTTAATTCCAATCATGAGTTGATTTTGGGACACCCTTTACAACTTCTGTATAGAATATTTTTACTCACTCTGGTAAACGTAGAAACTAAAAAAAATAGTTTAAGAAATAAACAAAAGACTTTGTGGGGTGTGCCTCAGAACAATGCTTGCTAAAATCCTTTACCTGCGCGCATGTACATCTGCTAACTGTATTATTGCGTCGCGGTCTATACCACTGTTTTTTGGCATAAAAGTGTGGCTGCGCAGAAGATTGGCATCAGTCTCCACTTTTATTTGAGATAAGCGGAAAGATTTCTAAGCGACAGCGTCTAGAAAAATGACATCAGAAAATAACGAAAAATTCGCCAACAAACTCGATCGACATCTGAAGGAACATCTCAGAGCAAGTCAACAACAAAAATCAGTTGAGGAACTGGATGCCATGATCGGTTTGCTTCTGTTGAATAAACCAGATGTTGTCGAATCACCGGTAACAACCGAAGCTACTGAAACTGTACAAGTACCAATGAAAACAACTGCAACAACAAGTAGAGAAGCACCAGTGACAACAATTGCAACAACAAGTAGAGCAGCACTGGCGAAAACAGGAGCAGCTGAAACAGTATGTGCATCAACAGTTCCACCAATAACTCAACCAACAACTTTACAAACAACACCAACAAAACGCGCAGCCTCACCAATAAAAACACTTATGGAAGCACTGCTAATAACAGAATCGCTAGAAACAACAAATGCACAAACAACAGTGGTGGCACCAGCCACTATAGATGGACCATCACCAGAAACTACACAATCACCAATAATAACACGCTTACCAACAGCAACGGTTGCACCTACAATTATACAATCACCAATAGGTGCAAATACAGAAGCACCAACCACAAGCGGTGCATCAACGAGTATGCAAACACCAACAACATTTGTGCCCTCAGCTAGAAGCACACCTACAATGGTACAACCACCAGGAACAACAAACTCTACAATGAATGCAAGAATACATTACGCAGTGGCAGCTCCAGGAACAACCACACAAGCACCACCACCAAAGCGCTATGCAGTAGCAGCTCAAGCCGCAACCACACAACAACAACAAGTAGTCAAACATTATCCAACAACAATACGTTATGCAACAGCTGCAGCTTCACCAGCAACCATGCAACCACCAACAACAATACGTTATGCAGCAGCAGGCTCACGTCCACCAGCTTTGCCACAAGCACCAGCAGTAGCAGTTGCACCCGTTGCACCTACGCAAAGAAGATCTTTACCGCAGCTTTTCGAAGCCGTGATAAACAGGTTGAAGCAAAGGCGAAGAGCAGTGCCAGCACATCGAACAATACAATCAGCTTGGGCAGCACTGGCTGAATTACAAGAATCATTCGGTCTTCGACGGTTGGATGCCGAGTCAATGGACCATCGAGCTGTGGTAATGAGCAGACTTTGCGACGAATACATGCGCGTCGTTACATTATTAAACGATTTTATTTATTTTGCAATCGAAGAGTAGTTCATAGTTTTAAGTTTTCAATTACTATTAGTTATAGTTATCAGATTTTGGAAATTTGAATAAAAATAATCTTAAAAAGCCACTCCAAGGCCCAAAAACAGACATAAGTTTCATATCTTGTGCTGGGCAGCTCAGGTCATACTAAGTAACACTGTTGTGAGCAAAAGATAGTAAGACTTTGTTCATAATTGGACTTATTCTTCAAAATCTATGTCGTCCCCTCAAAGTAAGCCACCTTGCCTTTTTTCCAATCCTAGAAAAAGCCAATTATCGCAATAGCCTTCAGCGCGCATAGCAATTCACCAATAATGTCTCCAACTGACTCTAAAAGGTTTCGCCATAGCGGTCGTATGAGTTTCTTGAAGAGGCAGAAATCACACGGGACTGTATTTTTATTATTATTAGTTTGCTTGCGAAAAACTCACACAGAATCAAAGCAGTATATAATGGTGCAATATTATGGTCAAATACCAAAAGTTGTCCGGCCTACAAACGACTCAAAACACTCAAATATTTTTTGACAATTTGGCCGGTAGGAAGATCTTTCACCTGCCTTGACGTGGTTTTTATGGTATAGGCTCAGCTTTGTCACGATATTCCGCCGACTGTTTGTTTGCTTTTTGTTCAAGACTCATCGTCAGTAATAATATGTTTCATGACAAGCTGGTTGTTGGAAAGCATTGATTTGCAGGAATTTCAAAAAGGAAACTACTCAAGGAATTATATTTATCGTAATAGTCAAAACACATTTATTTGTTACTTAGGGAACAAAATTCATCTTTTACAAGTAGGTGGTTCAAACGCCTTGAATCTTCTAGAGTATCATATGTAAATTTGTATACATTTCAATTATTAAGAGTAAGCTCCCGCTAAGAGACTGACAACTTTATCGTAAATTTGGTATTCTTCATGTTACACATACTCAAATCGATAATTTCGATATGAATTAAGTAAGCAGCAGTGCATCGATAAACTTAAGTAAATTTTTACCTATGAACCTCTTCCAAAGACCACTGTTTATCGATGGCGTTGGTGAACTCAATTGAGATTGTAGAGCATTCCACGACGAATTTCGTCAATGTATTCCAAAATCAGTTGTTGCTCTTGAAACTATTAATACTGTGCGGAAATTGATAAGGCAAGATCGTATAATTCAAAGCAAATGTTAGACTGTTTATAAAAAACTGGACACGTCGCAACCACACCCCTAGGACAACGTAGAATAGTAAATTCTGTGTGAGATACAACCATTTGTGATAAACAACTTTCCCAACGATTAAGGAAGCTGTCATAAATCGACTGAAAATGCTGAATTTTTGAGCCATGAAAGCATCGATTCGGTGAGTCATTTTCTGTATAGTTCTTACTTGGGACCGAATGACTTCTTTTTATTTCCTTACGTAAAAGATAATATAATAGGTTAAGGTGTTTTTCTGGTTTTGAGATGCCTCAGTTAGAGTTGGAAAAGTGATTCCACAATTGGTTCAAACGAATGCCAGAGAATACAGATCTCCTATGAGAATATTTTGAAAAACAATTCAGCGACTTTCGATGATTGATACTTGTTTTTGTTCTCCAATCCCGAAATATGAAGGCACCCTCGTAGAGTATATTTTTCAGCCGCATACAAATCTTTCTTGAGAAATTAAATAAAATGAATGCAGATAACTCTTTTCTTCACACCGAGAAAACTTTTATATGCATAAGTATAGATATACATATAAGGTACATGGATAACTAGATTACTCTCAGCATTAACCAAATAATATGTCAGTAATATTTATGAAGGCGCGCATTCAGATTTTTGAGCATTTCATCAATCAACAAACGCAAATCGCAATTAAGAACAATCAAGGGAGAATTTTGGCGCATATTTCTGCGCGCACCGAATGACAAAAATAAAACTACCAAAAGCCACTGAAAAGATGGAACAGGGTAGAACAAGAAAATATGTCACATGGAATGTACATACCAAGACGTCAAAACAAAAAATAATAACAACAACAACAAAGAAAGACGCTCCAAGTGGCCAAAAGCAACAAGCGATTTATTTTCACATACCATCACAGACAAAGCAAAAGCGCCGAGTGATCACAAGGACACAAAAACACATTACCATACACTCACATTAACGCATTGAGATGTATAGGCACACCCAGTGAAGCCTTTCTTCCACATTCCCGCTTGTTTCTTGTGTTATTGACCATGTTGCTGTCGTACGTGTCGCCGCATGAAAATGTTAATTTATTGCCAACGGCATAAATATCGCGTTACAACAACAACAAAAGCATAAAACTAATAACAGAAAGTTAAGCAATACTTTGTTTAGAGTAATAGCCGATGCGCTACAGCATCGTATACCAGCTGAGAGACGAGAAAGAGGTATGGTAGGTGGTTGAGAAAAAATCGCTGTGACTTACATCGACATTAATGCCAGACACCGGAAAGACCAGCGTGGGCGGTGACTCCTTGGGCACATAGCGATAGAATTCCTCAGTGTCGAAATACCAGCGAACCGAATAGAGAGCAGCCTGCAATGAGAAAGCGAGAGAGAGAGAGTGAGAAGCAGAGCAAAAATAGTTAACAAATAAGTGCAAAAAGAAGAAGCGCAAAAATAGACACACAGCAGGGCTAGAAGAGTGCTGGTGTCGAGGCCGTGTGTGCCAGCAGGCGAGTGGCAAGTGGAATTAGAGACGAATTACCGTGCAATTAATTTAATTGAGAAGCTCACAGTGAACAGCATGCCAGACATTCTAAATAAAATAATACGGACGTAATGAATGGCGGGTGATGGCAGCGTTCCAAGCAGATTGCACAGTGGCAACTGTCAAGTGACAATTAATGGCAGCGGCGCTGCACGGTGCCTAGTATTTATGACAGAAAGCAAGTTATGTTTACAAATTTTAAGTGCTCACAGCAATAGTTGTCGCCTGCTGGGGGCATGTTGGTATTGCAAGTGCAGCGAAATGGCACACCTACTGTGGGAAAATTGCGCAAATATTTGGGATGCGTATGGGAATTAAACACCAGCGTTCATCACAACTACAAATAAAATATAACGGTTAATGTTAACATACCTGCCCCAGGTCGTACTGGCATGAGAGCGTTGCTGCGTTGCCCATTATAACCGCCTCCGGCACGAATATCTTCAGGTCCTTCAAACAGTGCGCTGTCGGTGTGATGCACGGCGTATGAGTAACCAATGCGTTGTTATATTTTCAAAAGAAAAGATAATGCGGAATATATTACAATTGTAATTAATTTAAAGTTAAAGTAATTATTCACAACTGCTGTATATATTAAAATTCATTATAAACATATAATGCATGTGCATATAAAAAAGAATAATACGATCTTTCAACCAGCTTTTATTATGATAAACAGTATATGCAGAGGCTTGTTTAAAAAATGCGCCAGCTTGTCACACATTTTATGCAACAAATTTTAACGACACATAATTTTTTTACAGAAAGGTACAACACAAATTTTTTGTAAAAAAATTGGAGCTGTTGCCACCCGTGTTGAATTATTATTTATTTTATAATAGAACAAATAGTGATTTGATGTACACAAATTTTAAGGAATACGAAATTTTATTGTCAGTTAAAGAAAGGCCCAACAATTTTTTTTAAATATTTGCCCTTTTTTATTTTTTTATCACAAAAGATGTTTTCTCTTTTCAAGTATTTTTTATCTCTTCGCTTTAAAAAGCTTTACACAATTACATAATTTAAAAAAAAGTTATAATCATAGGGTCGTGCAAGAAAGAAATTAAGGTTAAGACCTTAAAAAAACGAAAGATACAAAATATATACTTCGGAACAAATACAAATCAAAACTTTTTACCGAACACCAAAAGCTTAGATACTAAAATATGCATCGGTTGAAAAAATTCTAAAAGCTATATACGGAAGAAATATTAAATGTGAATAGCGCAGTGAATGTCACTTCAAATCATAGAGAAACGTCGAACTTCCAATTTGCTTATTAATTTCCACAACAAAGAATTTTTCTGCACAATTGTAATTTTACTACAACATATATTTGTCTTAGGAAAAGTATTATAATAAAGAGTTCCGAAAAGGGTGGAGTCTCTTCTTTGTGTTTTGTTTTATTCTGGCAACACTGTTAAATGCTCGAAAGTGTGACGTCGCTTAAAATCGTAAGCTAATTATTTGAAAAAGATTTCTCAGAAACCAACGAATACTAAAATTGTATTTGGTCGGATATTGCCTTTTAAGTTATCTACAGTGATATTTCGAAATATTTTAAAACCAAGTACAGAGATTGACATAACCAATTTGCATGCAACTACGAAACATGGAGGAGAACACGCGATGATGTGGGACTGTATGTCAGCGCACGGAGTCGGTAATTTGGTTTATATCGACAATATTATGAACCAGTATGATAACATAATTATTCTCAAAGGAAATTTAATTCCAAGTGCTGAGAAAGTGTAATTCCGATCCACATATAAGCTTTACGCGTACAGTGACCCTAAACATAACTCATTTAATGCACGGTCTAACTGCCCAAAGGTATTAAAAACTCCCGCAATCTACGTATAAGAGTGTTATCGAGCATCTGTAGTATCTTCTTCTTCTTGATAGATGTAGACACCGCTTACGCGATTATAGCCGAGTTAACAACAGCGCGCCAGTCGTTTCTCCTTTTCGCTACGTGGCGCTAATTAGATATTCCAAGTGAAGCCAGGTCCTTCTCCACTTGGTCCTTCCAACGGAGTGGAGGTCTTCCTCTTCCTCTGCTTCCCCCGGCGGGTACTGCGNTCCATCCGGACAACATGACCTAGCCAGCGTAGCCGCTGTCTTTTAATTCGCTGAACTATGTCAATGTCGTCGTATATCTCGTACAGCTCATCGTCATCATCTGTAGTATCATCTTGAAGTAAATAACGAAAGCATAATATATCTAAGTAACACGACCTCAAGAAGGCTCTTGATGAAGTGTGGAGCGAAATTAGCGCCGATACATGTAAAAAGTTAGTCAACTCGATGCCAAAAAGGATTAGGATCGAAAAATGCGGAACAAAAAATTATTAAGTAAAACAATTATTCTTGCTTTCCTATTTGTTCCAATAAAATATCGTGTACGATTTTTGGTGACACGCAAAATGTTTGAGTTGTGTGCATTAAATTTTTCTTATGCTAAGTTAACTACTGAATTTATTTTCTTTTTATGGTTAAATAACAAGTTCAAATATTAATAAATATAGCATTTTATACATTTTTGTTCTGTGTACAACTTTAAGTGACAATCACTGTATAAACATGAAAAGATAGCTTGGCCTTCTATGCTTTTACGAATGAGTTCGAGAGATCTGAATATAAAATTTTGACATTAGTTAGAAATCATTGGCTATTTATGTGACGAAATAATGGTTCTGTCGTGATTTTATCACATTTTTGAAACTTAGTAAGACCATGTCAAAATATTAGGTTGTCAAAGAAGTCTTGCGGTATTTTCGATAGTTGGCGCTGAGAGCGCGTAGTTCAGGTTTTATTCGTCGCATCGGGTCATGCTATACCTTTTTGGAAAGCTCATTTCACGCGCTAACACGTGTTTGATTGATTGTATATATATATGACATATATATATTTACAGTAGTACTACGATAAAGGCAAAAATGCATCTCAAGCCGCCAATAAAATTTGTGCAGTTTATGGACCCGATACAGCTTCCATTTCCACCGCACAACGATAGCTTCAACGTTTTCGGTCTGCTGTAGACGTGATCGAAGATGCGCCTGTCGTCGAAAATTGCGATAAAATCGCTGAATTTTCCGAAAGAGACCGGCATAGTAGCAGCCGTATCATCGGTCAAGAGCTGGGCATAAGACATAAAAAAAATTTTATGAACAATTGAAAATTCAATAAAATACATTACAAATACCGCAAAAATGCCGCAAAAATACCGCAAAAATACCGCAAAAATACCGCAAGTCTTTTTTGACAACCTAATATAAATTATATAAACTAGAGGGATATAACCTCTCAACGATGTGCATATATAAAGTTTTTAAAGCATTTTTATTTCTAAAAAATCTCATTCTATTTAATAAGAAATAAATGTTTCCAACTATTTTTCAGTGAAAATAGCTGGTAATTTAGAATTAAGTTCCAATGATGGATTAATTTTTATAGTATTTCACGTTTAAAATCTTTCTAAAATTAATCTTTAAACAGGCGACGATTTTAACCATTCAACCAACGTATTTCATCTGAAAACCACTTTAATAATGAAAACAGACCTATTATCTGAAAATCTCTATAATTTTTTTATGGAAAAAATCTAAAAAAAAAAAAAAATATTATTTATTTGTCACATTCGTCGCCAAAAATGTGGCATGTAAAAATATGCCGTTATTATTTTTTGCCAGCTGTGCACGATAACAAAATATGCGATTATAGAAATTAATTAAGCTTAAATGATGGCGAATGAAATTAATTTATATTATTCTATGCTAACAAAGGCCGTTGATAGTGAAAAAGTAAAAAAAAACACACACACACAAACAAGATATGTATTTTATAAGAGCATATGCACGCACAAAATCACAAAAACACAACAAACAATTTAATTATGGGTGTATAAGCAGCGTTGATGGCAGCAGCATTTGCGGCATTGTTCGCCACCATTGTTGGTGTTGCCAATGTGGCGGCACATTAAATGCAGACAAGTAACGGCTGACAATTGCTATACAAACACACACATACGCACAGCAGTTTCTGCGGTTTGCCCGCCCAGCGACGCACACAAACGCCGTGTTACATACAAACATAAATGCGTGAAATAAATAAACTAGTTGCAAAAACGTGCTAAATTGCGCCAAATGCCAAACAAAAAGCTTAATGAAATATGCGCGCCATCACAAAAACACAGCGGAAAAACGCAAATTATGTGAAATATTAACATAATAAAATATTAACAGAGCCAGAGAGCGCCCAACGCGCGCACAATCGAACACGCGTGTGTGCTTATGCATGGATGTGTGTGTGTGCAATGTGCAACAAGCGCATGTATGTGTGTAGTGGCAACGCATTGCTGTGCTTGACACATAATTAAGTGGTTTCACCAGCAGCTATTAGCCAATTCTGCGTTGCCCCGTTAGCGCTGTCATTGCCGCTAACCGCAGCGCAGACGAAAGTCAATATATCGCAGGCGCGCCGACTGCAAGTGTTTGCTACAAAAGGCGGCGAATTCGAAGAAAATTTAAATCACTTTTTGGTTAATATTGTAAGAGTTAGCAAATGAGGTTTACATAGAGATTTCTTGGCTAAAGCAAACGTTTAGTTTTTGTGTGGTGATAGTTGATTGATTATATCGTCACTTAAAATGAAAAATATCGTAATATCACTTTTCACAATTTTACAAGTGATGGAAAAAGCTAATAGTAGAAACACTCATATTGAAACAAAATTGGAGTTCTAGTTATAAAATGGTTATATATTGGTTATATCTGACAGTGGTTTCACACTACAAGAGGGTGGATGACGCAGGAGCATGCATCTCGCCAGCGGAACTTACAATGCTAAACAAATACCTCCAAACTTCCTAATGGAATAAGAGACGGACTCTATTACACGGATCTGGATCTCAGGCTTTGTGGTCAAGATTGCAGCTGAGATAGCTAACAATTCAGAAACAAACACAAGGTTGACAATAGAAACGTCGAAACCCAGGCCGCAATCAAGGCAATGATCCCACATCGCACTACGTCAGAGAATATCCTTAGAAGCAAGAAGACAGAGTGCTGACAGACCGAACGAGGCGAGATAGGATGCCATAAGAATATGCCTGTTCGCCAAGAACATGTAAAAAAGCCCAGAAAAAAACAATTGTACTTTTTACTCAGACGATCCCGACAGATCTATAGGACGGTTGTCGGCCTAGTGGCATGTCACAACTTACTAACAACACCTGCGAGTACAAGCGGCATAATTAACGATGATACATACTGAGGGAAATAAGCCAGCGAGCAACGCTGAAACATGTTTTTCCTCTGTCCAGTAATATCGTCTCAGATATTTAAGGGTTTGTCTCCTGGATTTGTCATTGAAGAGATGGAAAACCCCAGTAACGTTGAGTAACGCTTCATTTTGTTTTTTTATTTTAATTACTAAATTTATTTTTAAATCTTTATGTAGA